TCCAACTCCTGATATTCTGTGACTCTGTGAATGCATCAGGGTCATAGAACTCGTTTTTCAGGGCAAGTAATTTTGAAGTATTTGACACAATTTTCTTTTTTTGGGCTCTCTTTTTTCATATCTCAGACAAACTGTGTTATGGTAGAGTGTAACCTAAAGGTAAAATAAATGACTGGCATGGTACAGTTCTTATTTAAAAAAAGAAAAAAATCGCCAAACCCCACCAAACTTCAGAAGCTTAAGTGAGAGGAGAGGAAAAAAAATTAACTTCCTGAAGTTTAAAGAAGCAGCCCCCAAACCAAGTGTCCAACAGTGTCAGCCCTGCCCTCTAGTGCTGCCAGCGAGGAAGAGGTGGTTGTGTGGTTCACAGCGATGTTGTACAAGGCTGCTCTCACCTGAGTTATTTTTTTAAGGCATATTAGAATGTGGGGGTTTTTTTGTGATTGGGGTGGTGGGTTTTGGGTTTTTTGGGTTTGTTTTCTTTGAGGGGGAGGAGTGTGTGTGTGTGTGTGTGTTCGTGTTTTTTGTGGTGGTGGTATTTATAGAGTTTTCAGAGGATTTTGCTGCAAACAACCAAAATCAGCCTCAGGCTTTGATGGCTGACGGGCTTTATTAAAAAAAGTGCAGTATCTTGAGCACCGAAGATAATCATTATGATAAAAATTGAAATAAGCTGCAAGGACTAAGCATGTTTAGATATGACTAACTGAAGCCTCTGCTTCCACAGTATCGAAGGCGAGTATGTTCCTGTGGCAGGCGACGAGGTCACCTACAAGATGTGCACCATTCCTCCGAAGAACGAGAAGCTGCAGGCGGTGGAGGTGGTGATTACCCACCTTGCTCCTGGCACCAAGCATGAGACCTGGTCGGGGCACGTCATCAGCTCCTGAGGTGGCCCACGGGGAGCGCGGCTGCTGGCTGCGTGGTCACTGCTCAACAACTGCCTGCAGGGGACCTGGCCTAAGAATATTCTACGAGAGGAAATAATGCATTATCAGTAAAGCGGAAGCAGGCCAAAATTACCATTTTTATAGCTAGCCTGGGAAAAAAAAAAAGGCAATTCAAATGCTAATGAAAAAAAAATCTAGCGTAATGTGTTTACAAAAAATGTATTTTAAAGAGATGTAGTTTGTGTGCTTGGTGGAGGGGGGAGGTTTGGTTTTTCTTTCATCTTGTGAACTCAGTCCAGTAAATGCCATGGGGACCTGGGGAAAGGTTTGAAGGAGAGCTCTTCTAGCGCAGACTGCCGTGGCACGGGCATGACCCCCAGGCCCTGGAGGTGTGTGAGCGCTGTGCTCCCGTGAGCTGCTCTCCTGGATGGGTTGGAACACCCCTATTGCTGACAGCGGTGCCTGGATGCCTTGGATTGAGAGGGAGAGAGGTGTTCATTGCTGCCATTTATTTTCTTCATGGGAGGAACTTCACCAACAGAGCAGCTGCCACAGGGTGGAAAATCTCCATCTGGTGGTTATGCTCTGATGGCCAAGGCTGGGTGCACTTCAGGTGCAGTGTTTGCAAACAGGATGTCTGCATGTGCGTGGAATGTTGTGGTTTTAAAGCCTGGATTGTTTGTGAATTTACTTAGGTGCCTTGATGGTTGATTAGCAACAGATTTTATAGGCCAGTATTAAAAACAAACCAACCCAACCCAGAATTTAAAATGTTTGCTTCAAGGTAAGTGGTAGAAAGCTGTAGTGGGTACCCTATAGCCTCCGACTCTGCATTTAGACAAAGCTGATGATTACCTTCTTGATTGCATAGTGTTGAAGGTCTGCCATGGTATTTCACTTGGCAGGCAGAATAATTGCACTTCTGAAAAGCAAGCTATATGCTGTTCAGATGGCCGTGTATAAAATACTGTGTGAGTTACTGAATAGGCTCAGCTGTCTCGGTGAAGTTGATGCTGCAGCTGTTTCCCTGGAGAACTTGCTTGGTAGGATGTGATGTGGTCACCCTTGCCCTGACTCTTCTCTGCCTGCAAGATTTCATGTAGTTGTAGTGCAACTGAATTAGTTCTGTTTCTATTTGCCTTCCACATCTTTTTTCCAAATGAAGCATTTTTCTCTATTATGTTCCTAACTGGATTTTTATTGACTTTGCAAATAAAAAAAAAATATTAAAACGATGGCATGATACTGTTCTGTGAGTTGTGTGAAACAGCAGGACTGCAGTGGTCTATTTGCAGTTCTAGCAACAGGCACTCGCTGCCATGGAGTGCCTTGAGACTTCTGCAGCAGACGCTCTGATCTGAGGTATGACCTGGGGAGAGCACAGATGTGTGGAGGTCAGTAGTGGAGTTTTGGGGTTTTATTTTTTTTTATTACCATAAGTCTTCATAGTGGTGGTTTTAACACTATCCAGCTTCTTGGAGTATCACACACTGCTTCCTTTACAATAAACGCAACCATAATGTTGCTTTGGCATGTCACTGTTACTGTACAATGTATACTACTACTGTAAATACATTGCTTTTGATTATATTTAATAGTAGCTGTTATTTATATTAACATATAGTAGGGGATAACAGGGAGGGACAGCAGAGCCTGGTCACTTCAGCTGCAGCCTAGGGGAGGAAGGCCAGAGCACTTGAAGGGGCTCCCACGGCAGAGCAGCCAGTATGCAGAAATGTTGTTTTCTGTTTCTTCTCCCACAGACAGACAGACAGACTGACTGCTTCGCATCGGCTGGCGTGAGAAGATAAACCCTGTGCACAACTGACTAGCAAGTTACCTTTAAGATCTGAACATGCGCAGCTCTGTGCACAGGGATAACTGTATTTGAGGCTGAAAACAAATCTAGTTTTGGTCCTGCACAGGATGTTTTGAGAAACCAAATTATCACGTATGTGTAGCAGAAAGCAGCAGCAATTAAAATCTGGCCAGCTTTAAAGTGCCTTCCTGCACTGCAGATGGGTCTGCTCCAAAGTCCGCTCCAGCTACAATGGCTGAGGCTGAATTACCCCATGGAAGCAGGCACATGGGAAGGGTGTTTAAAGATGAGAGTTCTGATGCACGAGGGCATCACAGCTCCCCCTCTTTGTTTTTATTTGTCAGCCCTTTTGGGGATTTTGGTTTGTACACTTACTGTGTAACTATCACAGAAACTTGGCAGTGAAAGATTCAAGTCAATCATGAACAGGCAGCACACGACAGGTCTGCTTTACATATTTGATTTGCCAAAATGACAAACTGAAATACTAAATTTTTCATGATGAGATTTTATTTTCCTTTACTAAATTAAACTGTTCATACACAAGATTACTCTCCTAATGCCAAATGAGAAAAGTGATATTAACAGTTACACTGATTGTCGTGCTTTGACTTTTAATTTTACTAGAAATATTTTTAGTACTAAAAGTTAATCTACCCATAATGTCTTACCAGGAAAATCAGAAATGTAATTTTGCTACTTGTGCTCAAGTTGTTTTAATTAATTTTTTATAATTTTAAAAATCTTTTTAGATTTAAAAACAGTCTGCAAAAAGTGTGGGTGCCGTGAACTGTACCATGCATGGCACCACAACTGTACTGAGGAGTAACTTCACACCGGTTGGTGCAGCCTCTCCAGTGGTGATGGACTCGATGCACCCTCTGACCACACACTGCAACGTGCGTGAGGTCAGGGACTTCTGGCTCAGTTCTACCTTCCCACTCCCAAAAAAGAAGTAAAACCTGTCTCTTTTACTCATCTTCCAGTTATAAACAAGAAAATCCCAACTGGTCTAATATTCATGTCTTTACAACATAAGTTAGTATTAAAAAAACAAACACCCCTTTAAAATGTTCATCTTTTAAATAGCAGCTCCCCTTCTGACCAATTATGAAAAACAATACAGAATGAAGGTGATTAGAGTTACTAAGCTGGCTTAACCATTTTAGAAGTGTGAATTCTAAAAGTCTTTCATTTAAAAAACAGCTCTTCACAGATTCTTCGTGTATCCTGTGGAGATGTGACGCTGTGGCCTTCAGTTCTGGAGTCTGTGAAAATTTCGTAGTCATTCCCTCCCTGAAAACAAGAAAATAGCAGAAGAGGATTTAATGTACAGTCACAGTCTTGGGGTGGAAAAGGGACACAAAGGCAATTCTCAAGAGAACAGAGGCAACACAGCCATGTAACACAGCTTTCTTCCAGAGAGTTAAAGCTAAAAAAAACCCTGCAAACACTATTTTGAGACTTTTCACAATGTGTTTATAGCACACCTGTGCTGAAACTTCTGCTGAGCACCACAGCCAGCCGTGTGAGACTGACCTACGTGGTAGAACTGGTAACGAAAGAGAGAACTCTCCTAAGTTTAGCCTGTTTAGTTTTGGTCTGGTAGAACAACTCGGTACTTTTTAAAAATAGTTTACTTGTTAGTATTAAGATGTAAACCCTGCAACAGAACACTGTGCCAGCACCTGGTATTTGTAACTTATCTGCATTATCCTCTTCCTTCCACCTTGGTTTCTTTTCTTTTTACTTAAATCATTAACACTTGATTTTCTGCTATTACAGTACTGTTATGGCCTTGTTAGCTGCTGGTCTGATTGACGTTTGTAACTGGTTTCTAATCACAGGACAGGGATAAAAAGATCTTTTCACAGCTGGCTCGGGGAAAAAAAAAGGTGCTGCCAGCTGTGTGAGCAGAGATCCACGACAGCCACAGCTTGCTGCACTACAGGAAGCAGTATTTTTGTATGGTTTTTGCCACACAGCTTTCCAGTGAGTCTGCAGCAACTCCTGCTGCTTCAAACTCTGAAAGATTTGTAAAACTGTGAAGTTCTTTGAAACATATAGCTATAAAAATGTAAGTTCTTATAAAACTTAGCCTGACACTGTCTGTTGGCCACGTTCAGACAGCCTTGATTGTCTTTGTGCTTGCCATTGCCCTCCCTAGCTCTTCTCAAGTCTCTGCTCAGTATTTTCAAACATCTCCAAATCACCCTGCAGCGCCATTTAGCCTCCTCCAATGATTAGGAACAGAGATTATATGTAACTTCAGCTACTTAATGTGGAGACAGAGTGGTTAGCAAAGGAACAGTATTAAATTCAATAGAAAATAAATGTGTTTAATAATCTCCAGCCAACAAGAAGCATCTATCTACAATAACCAAACAGGATAATGAATTTTATATAACCATGTCACCTAGCTTTCTAACATAATTAATTTAGAATCATAGAATGTATTGGGTTGGAAGGGACCTTTAAAGATCATCTACCCTGCAGTGAGCAGGGACAATGTTACCAGATCAGGTTGCTCAGGACCCCATCAAGCCTGACCTTGAATATCTCCCAGGATGGGGCCTCCACTGGGAAACCTGTGCCAGGGATCTACCACCCTCATAGTGGAGAACTTTTTCCTAATATCCAACCTAAATCTACCCTTTTCTAGTTTAAAACCATGACCCCTCGTCCTATTGCTACCTGCCCTAGTGAACAGCTCTTCCCCAGATTTCTTATGGGCACCTTTGAGGTACTGGAAGGTATATAAGGTATAAGGAACCCCCAGAGCCTTCTCTTCTCCAGGCTGAACAACCCCAACTCTCTCAGCTGTCTTTGTAGGAGAGATGCTCCAGCCCTTGGATCATCTTTGTGGCCTCCTCTGGACCTGCTCCAGCCCTTCAATGTCCTTGTTATGCTGAGGACTCCAGAACTGGATGCAGTACTCCAGGTGAGGTCTCACCAGAGCAGAGCGACAGAATCACCTCCCCTCAATCTGCTGGCCACACTTCTTGTGATGCAGCCCAGGATGGGGTTGGTTTCTGGGCTGCAGATGCACATTTGTGGCTCATGTCCAGCTTCTAATCCACCAGTACCCCCAAGTCCTTTTCCTCAGGGCTGCTTTCCAGCCCATCATCTCCTAGCCTGTACTGCTAATGAGGATTGCCCCTACCCAGGTGCAGGACCCTGCACTTGGCCTTGTTGAACCTCATGAGGTTCACCTGGGCCCACTTCTCCAGCTTGTCCAGGTCCCTCTGGATGGCATCCCATCCCTCTGGCACATTAACCTCACCACCCAGCTTGGTATCATCAGTGAAACTGCTGAGGGTGCACTCAATCCCACTGTCAAAATCATTAATGAAGACATTAAACAGCACTGGTCCTGGTATGGACCCTTGAGGGACACCACTGTCTTCCACTTGGACAGCAAGCTGTAGACCACTACTCTCTGGATGCAACCATACAGCTACTTCCTTAATTTAAAAACATATTCCAGCATTATGTTTGTCAAGAACACTGCGTTCACTTCAGGAAACAGAAGAAAAATCTGTGTTCATGACAATCTCCTGACAATCTGCTGCCCATTATTGCACAGCTGGATGAACACAGACACACGTTCATATTTATATTCTGATTTCAATTCTTGTCAGGTATAAGGCAATTGGTTAGAACAGTGCTAACACTACAGTGCTTGTGGTTTACAACAGAAGCTCTGAAATGTATATACAAAACAATATACTCACTGGCATAGTCTTATCTCCAAAGAAATAAATGGTCTTGTATCCATCATCAGCAACAATTCCTAGGCAGTACCTCTTATCCCAGCCATCTGGGAACACATCGAAGCTTATCTGGCCTCCTAGGATAGACACAAACCAAGCAAACTTTGTTTTACTGTAAGAACACATTTCTGAGGGGAGAATATGTAAGTGAGAGAAAATTGGGTAAGATTTTTGGTAGAGGAAGCTTTACAGAAGTCACAGAAAATTATGAGACCATGGAGTCTCACAAGTACAGTCAGTGTTTTATAGGGTATCAGTTATTATAGTTGTCATTTACATATTATTATTTACCCCTTAAACAAATATGAAAGTCTTAGCATGCTCCCGAACACTGACTACTAGGCAACAAACAGAAACTTGTCTTAAAAATTACATTTAATCTTTTCCCTTTTGGAAAGAAACTACATGGATGAATACAGCCATTGGTGTACACACAGCCATAACATTCTTATGCCAAAGACTTTCTAAAGCTTTCAGAATAGAAAAAGAAGGAAATCAGCCTTCTTAATGCAGCCTAGCAGACAACTGTTCAGTTCCAAATCCTTGGAATTTACCAATACGTAGAAGTGTGATTCCCCAGTGAAGTGGGTGTCAAAAATGTATTTAGGACGTGCTTTAGGAGAGCTGAATGGCAGTTCATTTCTGCCTTAGTGTTTCCACAGCACTAATGGCAACTGTGCTCCTGCATAATTCTGAGAAATAATAAAAGGCAAGATTGTGGTAATACATTGGGGAAGAGGGAAAAGAAGACAAAAATACGTGGAAAAATAATACCCCCTTTTTATCACTTCTCTTAAACTTGCACTTGTGTTTAGATTTTCTTTTCTCTTCCCACACAATGCAGCTACAGAACTGAAGAGCCACACTGCTGGAACAGTACTGATGTCGTATGTCTGATCAAAGTCGATTCGCTGAAACAACTCTGACTAATCAGGAGCATATAATATGTTTCAAAATGAACAGAATCAGTCACACAACTGACATTAAAAGACAATGAACTGATGACAAGCAATGAAGCTCTCTTTGGTGATGGATTTCAATTCAAATGTACCAAATGAAAGCCTAAGAGGAAAAAAAGTCTTGCACACAATGCCTGCAACCACCCCCAGAGAGAACTGTCACACAAATGAGACAGGGTATGTCATATCCATAAGAGGATATTATTTAAGTGAAAATTAAATTAAATGATACTTTAAATTAAATTCTTTTAAATGTGATACCTATAGAAAATGTGAGGCCTTTTCCTGCAAATTCTCTTCGTAAATCAGCTACAAATTTCTCTCTTATGTGTTCCTTCTGTTAAAAAAAAAAACAACAAACCAAAAACCATCCAAACAAAACATCATTTACATGCCATGTTAATTCATCAATAAAAAGATAACCCAGAAAACCAGCCCAAATATATCCAAAGGTCTGAGTACTGGGACTAGCGTGATACAGCTATGGTTTATTATTACTGAATGCATGCTGAGAATATTTTCACTTCAGTCTGCTACCAACTTATTAAAAAATGCAAACCTTCACATACATCCTGTGATACTTGCTCTTTTATCTGCAAATCTTAGAATACTAAGACTTCAACTCCCAGTGAAATTCAGTCTTACAAGTGGGGAGACTGAGGCACAGAAGAGTCTCAAAACTGGTACTGATCTTCTGATGCCATGTACTCAAAAAAGGGTATTTTCACAAAGGAAAATAAATGGTGAACAGTTTGACCTCAGCTTTTAAATTCTGCTTTAAAAGGCTTTAAAGAATTGACAAGAAAAGGAGCAGCTTTATTGATTTGAATGGATAGAGGCTGGTATCCTAAAGAGCACTCCAAGTATAGTTTTAGCAACAACAGGGCTTTTCAGGAACCCTGTGTGTAGAGGTAGGATGTTCAGTACTCTGGATATAAGGTTAAAAGAAACATGAGCTATACGCATCCCTTTCACAAGTAATCACTGTTAACTACTGCAACAAAAAAACCCCTGTGTGTTTCCCGACATCTGCACTAAGAAGTTAGTTCAACCACATGGAAAGGATTAAAATGAGAAAGATCACACAAAGTATAAAAGCTTTTTAAAAATCATGACCTGGCCATAACTGCCTCTTCCAGAAGAGTTGGATATTTTTCAAGAGTTGTAACTCACTTTATCAAGTTCATAGAACTCAACTCGTTCTTCCTGGCTGCAGCTCCTTCCAATGGGGGACACATTTAACATCCCATTTCGGAACTCAATAAAAGTGCCCCTGAAAAAGAAATGATTAATGAGACAGAGATGAAAAACTGCTCAAAATGCTGAGTATCACAATGAACTTTTGATTAGTTCTGAAGACAATGGGAATCAGATGTCTCCTTCAGCCTCTCATTGTATGCATAAAAAACATGTAGGAACCAATCAAGGAGTCTTTTAGACTTTTATTTTAATCTGGCAACCTCAATATCATCCTTACTGACTTCTATGAGTATGATTTGGTTGTAAAAGTGTGACTGGAGCATCCTGGCAACCCGATTTTCAGACCCTGCCAGGCCAGTCTATCAGTCTTGGGGTGAAGCAGCAAAATTTCGATCCATCTTTGCAGTGTTTCTAGATGGCCTCACACATGGTACGTGTTAATGTCTTGAGTGGCTGTACCCTGACACGTCACATAGAGCTGATCTTACTGCGTGCTTCTCATCTCTCGAAAACATTTTACTGCCGAATTCCAAACCTGTCAAGGAAATACTCCTCCTTCAAAACTGAACTTCCTTCCCTCTTAAAAATGCTCAATCAGTATTTCACATCTCATGCTCCAGCTGGGAGCTTGTCTTCGTATGCATGCATCGAGCTGTTTCATGTACACAGTGTTTCTAAAACAGAAATGGTTCCTTGTTTTGCTGAGCAGCCTGCTTTACATATCGGTGCTCAACACTGTAACGTGGAGAATATGGTGACACGGAGATGGGTGTATGCACATACCTTTTCTTTGGCAGTTTAATCTTCGCAATGTAACTCAGGCAGTAGTTGATTAGGTCTTGGAGAACATCCTCGCCCAGGTGACCCTGAATGTTCTAACAAAATAAATACCATTCAGCCAAGATTCTAAAACAAGTCACATGGAAAACACAGCCACTGGCTAATTGGGCATTGTTAGCACTGCCAGGAAACATGCCTTCAACAAGTAACTCTCAGGTGATGCACACGTGGTACTAACTAACTAAATGCTCTCATTTTTCTTTTTGTTTACTTTGGTGTTTTTAAACCATAAGACCAAACTCTCATTTAATATGCTCGCTCCTAGTACCTGCTTTAGGAGGATACAGTCCAGGTCAAAGACTGCAGACCTAAACAAAAAGCTGCAGTTAACGTCTCCTGTAGCCAAGCGTGAAGGAACAAAATGGTTACTGCAGTTAACTGGGAACCACTGCACAAATCAGCAATTTCAGCCAGGATCTCTTTCAGATTTTTTTATGTCCATTACTTATATTGAACTGATGCAGGTAATTACAGTATCTAGAGTCAGTTGTATGTTTGTATTAGTTTGGCATATTTACCTTCTAGCTTACACAACATATCAGAATAAATACTAAAAAGCAGCTACAAGAAACTTTCTGAACCCTAAGGCCCAACAGACATCAGCTATGAAATGCCTTTTTCCAAAGGACTGCCAGGAGCAGAAGGCTGGGCCACATTTCCCATAGATATGCTGAGGGAAAGGCTGCTCCAGGATTTTCACTGTTCTTATTCGATCACACAGTCCAGACTCCAATGACTTCTGGTTTTGAGAATATCCCAAAGAATAAAGCTCAGGTGAAGTCTGTCATTACATGAATCAAGCACCAAATGAATGATCTGTTACAGAAGTAACACATAAAAATAGCACCAATTTTGGCCATAAGTAGAAGAGTTATTACAGAGGACTGCACTGTGGCAACAAAGCAAAATCTTGTTTAGCCAATTTCACGTTAATCGAAATTTCACACTTACCTGCTTGCTCAGGAATTTCCCATCTTTGTATGCGACAAGACCATTTTCAGGAAAAACGTAGTCAAACTTTTCAACCACTACAACCAAACAAAAAAAGCAGTAATTTATAATTGCCCCTGTATTTCTAATGCAGAATTACCTTACATATCGAACAAGTTAAAATACAGCAAATAATAGATCATAAAACGTGAAAGATTCAGCAGTACAACATAGAGCACAAGATCAAAGGCGCTCTCATTTCTCTCCAAGATTAACACACACCTCAGATCACCTGAAGTCTTTCAGTCAGGTTACCCGTATTTTTGCTTAAAGGCTCCTCCTCTCCTGCAAATACATCTCTTTGCATTAAGTGTAAGGAAGTGACTGAACACCTCAAATACTTCACAAACCTAGCACGCAGCCTGCCTAGAGAGCAAATCAGATACTACTATTTTAGGTTTGTTTTCTCAGTAATCTACAGTAGCGATCAGAGTTGTGAGAATCTCACTACAACGCACGATGAGATGGCTTATTGGAGACCACTTGTAAGCCAAACAAATTCTGAGTTATCTGGGCACTACAGAAGGCTATTGGTGGCACTGATTAAAGACCATTAAAGACAGTCTTTTATACAGAAAAGGAAATGCCTCTCTAAGGACTAAAGCAAAAGTCCATCTCTGCATTGTAGCCCCACAGTTAACAAAGTCCAATCCTTCAGGGATGCACCTGACAATGGAGCAGCCTGCACAGGTATGTTAGCTACCTAATTCCACTGTAAAACAACAGTGTTAAACTGCTGAAGTTGTAAAATGTTATAATGCCTTCCTACGGTACTGTCACAAAGTCAGGATTTCACCATTAGTAACTATCCCTTAATAAGAGACTGAGATGTTGGTAAAATGCAAATGCAGGTTGCAGTTTCTAGATGCCTGTAAACGGGAAAAGTTTAAAGGAAGAAAGGAGGCGAATGAACCGGGTTCAGCCTACACTGACCCTACACTTCCTTGTGAGCAGCCCAGCGGCAGAGATTGCGTCAGCCGCTGTCCTTACCGTCATCGCCGAGCTGCTCCTTGATCTTGGCGAAATCCGAGCCCCCCACGACGCCCACCTTCACCTTCTGGCGCAGCGCCTGCACGAACGTGGCCATCTCCGCCGTGATTTTCTGGGTAACAAACCAAAACCAACAGATTTGTCAGTACTGACCAGCATCCCCTTTCCGCAGTCATTACTGCAAGCCACCACTACCGTGCAGAGCTTTAAGGGCGGAATTTTTTGCCTTAAACGCTACCGCGCGTCTGCACACCGAGCATCACGGAAACGGAGATCGGCTCTGTCCTCAGGGGCTGGTGGCCCTTCAGTGACAGCCCACGTCCGTGCCACAGCCCCGGCTGGCCGCACGAACGACCTCCCCCGGCGGGAAGCC